CCCCCCCCCCCGCTTCCTACGCCCCTGTTACTGACTGCTCACAAAAAACTGAGGCTACAGTGCAAAGTCAATTACAGTAAATCAGTTTCAAGATTTAACATACCACTTAATGAAACTTCTAAATATATTTCCTTCACAACTAAAATGTATAAGAATATACAGTAATAATATGCTTTATTTGCTTATAATGAATACCAAGACCACCATCACCATTTTCAGGAATGTTCCTGAAAACTGAATTAAGGCACCAATTATAAATTTAGTCAATTGGCATGTAAAATGGAGAAATACAGTACAGTAGTGGTATCACACTGTGTACAGTACAATACATGCACACAGCCTTCAAATTTGTCCTCTACTACGCTACTTAATAGGTATTTCGAGCATAGTCGAGAAAAACCTCATAAAACTAGCCTTTTATGTAATGCACTATATTCTTTACTACCACCAAAGTGCAACTAGACATTTTACAGCCAGTCTCATAATGTCAATCCAAAGTAGGTTTTGAGTTCATTTGAAAGAAAAAATAATCAATGGAACAAATCAATTTCTCAATGGAACAAATCAATTACTCAATGTAACAAAAAATAGGAATAAATACAGTGCGTGGGTTTAATTTCTTCTAGCAACCCTTTAGAACAGTTCATGATAATATACAATATTCTGCAACAAACCTTCTTCAACATCTCGCTCAGCAACACCACACCTTTTAAAAAATTCCCTCAACTCTGTTGGATGTCCAAGTGCATGTTATCTCTCACAGTGAGCTGGGCAGAACATATGTATTCTTTTTGGTGAGAGAGTACAGATGCTAGGGTAGTTGATGACTTTTCCAAATCCGGGTATTTCAACAGAAACTTTTGACATGCAATGGGCATAGCGAAGTTTACAGTTCCCATCAGCGACTTACAACTGACCACACCCTACATAATTTAGGTGACAAGTATATATTATACTTCATGCACATAATTTTTATATTATCTATAATCCACATTTAATGATTGGATTATTGACCTTTCAAATAAACTACAGTACAGTACATATTTATTAATCCTTTTAAATCAGACTACTTTCTTAATTAATTATATATCTTATGTGACGAGACACCTCCTTGGCGAGTTTTGGTAGGATTCCTCTTGAAGCTGACGTACATGATGCTGTTGTCGTCTTCTCCAAACTCAAAATCTTCGACTGCCATTGTATGGTGTTCCTGTCATCCCCATAGACCAAAATGTTGGATAAGTAACCACCACATTGTATTGATTAGTGCTTGTGGAGAGGAATTGCCCAGCTTTTCATGTTCCCACAGCATTTCGTCTTCTTGCAAGGTCAGTGGTTTAGCTGCATTTGGTCTCTTCCAATGGAGTTGACGAGCCTTGCCCTCAAGAATTTGCTTTGAATGGTGAAACTCTCGGTCACAAATTATTGAACTGGTACAGTTTTTGTTTTTAACTCCTTTCGGTCACAAGCATTCGCATCATATTACGACCCAACCGTTCCAGTATAAATATCTCGGCGAGTATTGACCCCCCTTTTAAATAAAACCCACCATTGAAATCCTCACAAAATAACCTTTCGAACGGGGGGTCAAGTGCCGTCAAAACATTACACAAACCGAAACAATCATATATTTACTCACCGCTTGACCAAAGATTCTAAATTTCATATCCACAAAATCTTGAATATCCCTTGAACTTTTCGTCATTTGCGGAACGGCTATATGTGTAAAATACTCTTTGTATTCAAGCGCTTTTGTGTACAAAATTTCGTTTGAATACGACGAGTAGAAATATTTATTTTGAATTTTTCAAAATGTTCGGGTTTTACTCGCAATTGCGTACATTGCGCAATAATTGGCCAATAAGAAGCTCCTGTGGCCGGGATGACGTCAAACTCACGCGTGTAGATGCAATTTGACCTTGCGAATCCATTTCTGGCCTTTCCAGGGTCATACGATACAAGCGTCGCATTGTTTTGACGGTTTTCAGTCGTATTTCCGGTTGGGATTAACTCACTTCGAGCTCACAGTCGGACAAGAAATGGAAATATATTGATAAAAGTTACAGATTTGAAGATACAGGCTTGCAAATAACACTTTAGATAGTGTTTTTAATGGGGATTCTAACAAGACTATTACAAAGACGATATGTTCGAAGGGGCCGAAGTTATTTTCGGCGAAAGGTATGGCTAGTCTATATTTTGTTCAGACAATTGCGTAATTTGATACAATATGATCGTGTTTGACTTTCAAAGGCCCATAAATCGCTACAATGTTGATAATGACTAAAACTATACGGAAGAGTTAGTTAAATCTTTTATTTCTGAATCGAATGGTGGTATTTCTGTCTTCATAGCATGCGCAGAACCGAAGATATGAAATTTCTCGCCATCGATCTCGCAGGATCGATAGAACTGGTTTGTGATGCAAAGGAGTTAAATGTCCGTCCAAAGCAGCTTGCATAACTTTCAAGCTCTCAAGCTCGTATACTTCGCCTTTCGTTGTTTGCACCTTGGCGTAAAACTTTTGAAGTGCTTTATCCAGCACTTGTGGGGGATGATTTTCAATGTCAACATGATATTGTCTGGCCAAAGCCCATTCCTGCCACACTTCCAACCAGAATGTTGTTCTTTTCTTTGTATTTTCATTTATTGCTTTTGCTTTGAGCTCCTCTAAGTCAATTTCATTGGTGTTCAAATACCTTTCGGCCATTGTGTTGGTTTTGTGAAAATTTGAAATTAAACAAGACTTACCTGTAAGTTTGGAATTCTGCAAGTCATCAACAGGGAGTGAAGGAGTTGTACTAGAGAGAGTGCAGTGCATGTGCAAAACCAGTCTTGATAGCATAATTACCCAATGACAATTTATGTAATTTGGGTGGGTTTATTATTTTTAATCAAAAAAGGGGCGGGAGTACAAATCCTTCACTCCCTTTTGATGACTCGCAGAATTCCAATCAAACTTCAACTTACAGGTAAGTCTCGTTTAATTTCAAATTCTGCTTCATCTTCAACTTGGTCGTTCCAGATTTGTACGAGATTTCAGAGACGTCGTTGAGTAATTGTAGCGTGGGTAGCGATGTGAAACAGTGATACCCACAAGTAAGTGCAATATTAAATGTACCAGCAAAAACACAACAATGTTTTATTATATTTGTCACATAATAAATGCATAATGTAATATGAACAAGGAACTTTAAAGATTATAGGAACGTTAAATAAAGTTAACATGCTAAATCCAAAATAGCCTTTCCGAAATTAAAACTTGATTCTGTGGGCTTGTTATAGAAATGTTGAAACGTCTTTTCATTCGACTAATCAGCAGAGGACAAAATATCTTGGATATTATTATTACATCCTGCAAGATGGGATGATGAAGCCGCAGCTCTGGTACTGTCCCTTGAATTTTGATATGTCAATACCAGATGAACCAAGCACTGTTTTACACCATGCATATTTTACACATACCGAACCATGAGGTTTTACA